TGTCATTATTATTTTAATTGTCATTATTATTTTAATTGTCATTATTATTTTAATTGTCATTATTATTTTAATTGTCATTATTATTTTAATTGTCATTATTATTTTAATTGTCATTATTATTTTAATTGTCATTATTATTTTAATTGTCATTATTATTTTAATTGTCATTATTATTTTAATTGTCATTATTATTTTAATTGTCATTATTATTTTAATTGTCATTATTATTTTAATTGTCATTATTATTTTAATTGTCATTATTATTTTAATTGTCATTATTATTTTAATTGTCATTATTATTTTAATTGTCATTATTATTTTAATTGTCATTATTATTTTAATTGTCATTATTATTTTAATTGTCATTATTATTTTAATTGTCATTATTATTTTAATTGTCATTATTATTTTAATTGTCATTATTATTTTAATTGTCATTATTATTTTAATTGTCATTATTATTTTAATTGTCATTATTATTTTAATTGTCATTATTATTTTAATTGTCATTATTATTTTAATTGTCATTATTATTTTAATTGTCATTATTATTTTAATTGTCATTATTATTTTAATTGTCATTATTATTTTAATTGTCATTATTATTTTAATTGTCATTATTATTTTAATTGTCATTATTATTTTAATTGTCATTATTATTTTAATTGTCATTATTATTTTAATTGTCATTATTATTTTAATTGTCATTATTATTTTAATTGTCATTATTATTTTAATTGTCATTATTATTTTAATTGTCATTATTATTTTAATTGTCATTATTATTTTAATTGTCATTATTATTTTAATTGTCATTATTATTTTAATTGTCATTATTATTTTAATTGTCATTATTATTTTAATTGTCATTATTATTTTAATTGTCATTATTATTTTAATTGTCATTATTATTTTAATTGTCATTATTATTTTAATTGTCATTATTATTTTAATTGTCATTATTATTTTAATTGTCATTATTATTTTAATTGTCATTATTATTTTAATTGTCATTATTATTTTAATTGTCATTATTATTTTAATTGTCATTATTATTTTAATTGTCATTATTATTTTAATTGTCATTATTATTTTAATTGTCATTATTATTTTAATTGTCATTATTATTTTAATTGTCATTATTATTTTAATTGTCATTATTATTTTAATTGTCATTATTATTTTAATTGTCATTATTATTTTAATTGTCATTATTATTTTAATTGTCATTATTATTTTAATTGTCATTATTATTTTAATTGTCATTATTATTTTAATTGTCATTATTATTTTAATTGTCATTATTATTTTAATTGTCATTATTATTTTAATTGTCATTATTATTTTAATTGTCATTATTATTTTAATTGTCATTATTATTTTAATTGTCATTATTATTTTAATTGTCATTATTATTTTAATTGTCATTATTATTTTAATTGTCATTATTATTTTAATTGCATATGGCTGTGCACGGGCCTAGGACTTACTATAAATGTGATGAATGTGGCAAAACGTTTACCCAAAAGACGTATAGGAATAGCCACATGCTGTCTCACAGGGGTGAGATGCCGTATAAGTGTACCCACTGCGGTAAGTCGTTCTTTATGAAAAAGCATTTGCGTCGCCACCTGGAGAGCCACGTCAAGAAGAGGCCTCACATCTGCACTGAGTGCGGTAAGGCATTTCCCGAGAGCTACAAGCTGGTCGTCCACATGAGAGAACACACAGGTGAGAAGCCATACTCGTGCTCGCGCTGCGCCAAGGCCTTTGCCAAGTACGAGAAGTGTGCCAACCATATTCGGCGAGAGTGCGGGCCTGCAGCAGAGGGCGAGGAGCTCCGTCCGCAGGTAAAGCGCGCACCGCAATTTCGCTCAGTTCCGAAGAAGAAGCCTCCTCCTCCGACTTTGATCTACACTATCATCACCACCGATCAGATCAGGGACCTGGGCCAAACCATGGTTCTCCCTTGCGAGATCGGTTCCTCTCTCGCCACTGGTATACAAGAAAACGGCAACACCGTGGTCCTCCCGCGCGAGATAAGTGACAGTCTCGCCGCCGATAGCCAAGGCAACGGCGACCCCGTGGCTCTCAGGTCCAGCAGCCTGGTCGCCTATAGCCTCGGCGATGACGTAGATGTAGAGCCTCTAGTGTCTTCTTTTGGGAAAACTGGTGACTTGGCCGGAGGAATGACCCTCCTTGACACGTTCCTGAAGGGGCAGATCACAGAAGAGAAAAGAGAAAGCGACTTCCAATTTGTAAATTTGTGATCCAACAATAAAGTGATAGCTCTGTTACTCGGCTCTTAAAAATTCCTCAATAAAGCACAACAGCAACTAGCTGCTGTTGGCGAGCATATATTAGTATAGCCACGACAGTAATGCTAAATAAATTTGTCAATAGACTGATAAAGTAATAAGAATTTAAGCGAAGAGAACGTGGAGAAGACCTTTAATCAATGTTAAGAAGGCTGCTTTTATCTATCCGAGGCCACCGTCTG